TACTGAATTAGCTGTTAAAATTTCTGTGAAGGGAGGAAACAATTATTTTGCGAGTCAAGAAGTCAAACTTCTCTCAGAGACAGAGATTTGTTATTTGCTGGTGTGTATTGAAGCACTTCTGGACCTGGTGTAGATTTGTCTTCTCCAAACAGAAAAAAAAGTGCCTTTGAACATATTATCATTGCCTTAAAAATGAAAAAGAAAACTATCCCCTCAGGCATTTGACAGGAGGCCAGACCTCAGAGGACAGCTGAAGAGAGACAGACAGGTTTCTAACATCTGTTTTGGGTGGGTGGATTGTATTTGACTTTGGCGTTCACATCAAGACAAGGCAAAGGCAGCAGAGGCAGGGCTTGATGAAAAGCACAGTCCAGCAGCCTGCACACTGTCCTGTTGGACCTTTGATGGGAAAACCCCCCAACAGCCATGAAGTGAGGGTGAGAATCCTGGGGTACATGCAAAGCTTTCTGTAGGCTGTAGAGAAGAATCCTGTTAATGCTGGATTGGGCATCCCAAATCAGGTTGTTGCTATAGAGTGATGGCTGACAGATGTCCTTGACACACGTCCTTGAGTGAAGCGAGAGCCTTCCTCCCACCCTGAGTTCTCGGGGTGCCTCCCTGCTAGATGAGTTGTGTTGAACAGTGCTGCTATTTTAAGACTCAAATAGTGTGTCAGTGCCCACTTTGTTTTCTGACACAAGGTGCAGCCCCCAGGGCTGAGTCATCAGTGGATCCCTCTGCCTCCAGCTGAGCCTGTTCCCAAAATTTGCTCTCGGTAGTGCTTTCCCAGCCTGCTGCCGACTGTGAGTTGGGAGCACCTATTTGTTCATGGGGTGCACGTCAGAACCCTTATTAGCTCCAGCTCAAAACCGCACTGAGCTCGGGAACAACCTGCAGTTCAGATGACACAAGTATATCTCAGAAGAGTACTGAGGAAAATGCAGCAGAAAGTAGTCCTGTGTGTCCCTCTGAAAGCCCCATTGAAGGGCTCTGGCTCCCTCGTGGATGTGCCTTTGTGGGACAGCAGAGGAACACAGTCCCCATCCATGCACCCTGCCCTCCCGGGCCGGTGCCCGCCTGCCTCTGAACCGCGGCGATTTATAACACCCCGAGGACACGAGTGCCCGTTTCAATGCAGCTTTAAGCTGTCAGGCTGTAAATTGTCTTGGTTCAGGAGCTACTTCAAAGCAGCCCAGCCTTCCTGCAGCAAGGAGAAGGCTTTTTGGCAAACCCAGCACAAGTCGTTTGCTATTCATGAGTCAAATCCCTGATATGTTCTTGATCAGCAACTAAAAATGGGTCATAAGAAGACAAGGCATTGCTGTCTGGTGAAGGAAGCTGCAAACTCCGCTGGCCTTCCCCATCTGTTGGCTAAAGCTCCTCTGCTTTTCTCAGCTTTTCCTCCCTCCCTGCCATTTTCCATTGTGCTTAGCAGCACTGAGCACCCACAAGGCTTCCTGAAGCAACAGGACCTTGACCCAGCAGGCAAACCCACCCAGAAGATCTCCCATTGCCCCTGTCTCCCAGATGAGTGAAAAGTGTCAATGGGGTATGGGAAAGGCACTAATGAAAATGATAAATTCCTTCAAGATGCCTGGTTTACAAATCTGGAAGGGCTGCAATGGTCAAGGGAGAGGGAAAGGAAACACCAGTTGGGTGCAAGCTGAGACTTGCAGCCTGCAGTCTGGCAGCTGAGGGATGGAGGGACCAAGCCACAGTGGCTGCAGGTAATGGGCACAAGTTTTGGAGCCAGGTCCACTCTCCCAAAACTGCACCTGCAGCAGCTTGGTTGCAGCCAGCAGAATGAAGTGTCCTCCAGGTTGGAAGCAGAGGAACAAAAAAAACCCTACTAAAGGACCGAAAAACTCCTTTTATGTCTGGCTAATGTTCAGAAGAGAGTTCAGTGTGTTGTGTGAGTAGCAAATCCTTCCCCAGGCTGGGGAGTGTTTGAGGCAGTGTTTTTTTTTCCTTTCCATTTCTAGTGGCTAATGCATTTACATTCAGCATAACTGCATTTATCAGGATCCACATCTCCTGTTTTAATTTAGAGCATTACAAAAGCAGCAGCTAAATATTCTTTTTGTCAGAGCTGGATGATGGATAGTGAACATCAGCAAGGCTTAAACACCCGTGTGGAGGTGAATCCCTTCGCTCTGACAGACTGTGTGTAATGCAAGAGGCACTTGGTTACAGAGCACTGCAGAGTAACTCTGCTTGTTACTTTTCCAAACTGTGCCAGACAGCAAACTTCCAGAAAACCTCAGACCATATACAGTTAGCCAGCAACACTATGTGAAATCTTTAACCATATTTGAACGAACGGGCTGACTTGGACACGGCAAGGAGGGAAATGCCAGTCTGCCTGACAGCTCGTTTTAATAATGAGAAAGTTGTTCCACTGACAGGAGGACAATAAAAACTGTGGCTGCCTAGAAAGTTGTTACCTTTCTTCTGGTTCGGAGTATATATGAAACTGCAGAGGAACGGGCTGGTCCTGTGCACGTGCAGCCGTGCTTTTCCCTTCTTTCATCCCTTTTCCCTTCTTTCACCACTTTTCTTTCTGGGGTGTTGAATCTGCACCCACCCTGCCAACCCTATCCAAGTGAGGCTCTGGTTTGCATTAGAAAATCACTACTTTCTCATAAAAATTGCCTAATTTTAAATATATTATCCCTTGTGCTTCAGCTTGTAGTTAAAGCTATTAATGCACAATTTATGGGAATTTTGGCTTACAGGGCATGAAAGTCAGATTCTTAAGAGATTATCAGCCCTCTGATAATCAGCAGAGGGCAAATTCCACAGCTGATCCTTCATTGATCAAGGAGCTGTATCTTTTATCACCAAACTACTGTGTATTGCACGTCATTTAGATGGCAGAACTCTCTGAGGAAGAGACCTTGTCATGGAATGGTTTTGGCAGTGCCACGTCTACGCTGGGATGATGTACGTATGTTTTCCAGTGATGAGACAAAGGGAAGATTTTGCTTTTAACCTCAGGATAGCAGGCAGGCTTGAAGTCCTGCGTGGTAGTGACACAAGCTCTGGGGAAACGCTTTTGCAATCGTGGCATCTCGCTGTGGAAATTCCGTCTGTGTTACTGCACAGTGCTCGTTACCATCACTGCCTTCTACAGCTCTGTTATCCCCGGGCCAGGGCTCAGCTGTGGATCCTCGTGGGCTGACTGAAACATGTGGCTTCTCCACATAAAACAAGGGTTTGTGACTTTATTTCCCTCCCCTCCTCTGAGCAATTACTAAACAATTCTTTTGGTGAAAAAAGAAAAAAAGTGCACGCGGTTAATCCCCACACTTGAGAACAATGCTGTGCAGCTTTGGTGAGCCCTGGAAGCTGTCATCCTGCGCTGCTGCCCGTGTGAAAGGAGCTGGTGATTGAATCCAGGCCCTTGGAGACAGTATTCAAACCAGCTCCAGAAATGGTGGCTCTGGCTGAAAAACCATTTGGAAGATGAAGAAGCGCTCTGAGCTCGCGGGCTGGCGAGAGAGGAGGCGGAAAACCATCTGCCTGCGTCACAAACTGTTGGGCACCAGCTCTGTGGGAGTTTGTAAGGAGCTCCATAGCTTGTTCTGATTTCCTACCAATGGGAATAAAAGGAGATAGATATTCTTTTAAATCCAGCTTGATTTAGGAGAACCAGCCAGAGGATCATGGAGTAAGTTCCCATTTCATTGCTGGGTGCCTTGGAGGGGTGTCCTGCTGAGGCTGGACCTGGGCAGGAAACCCAGCCTTGCCTCATGCTGCCAAGTCCCCTCCTGCTGGGAGCAGGGCAGCCTTCAGCAATGGCCAACAAAGGATGTCTTCAGCATGACCCTGGAAAAAGCAGTTAGAGAGCACCATGTTGGAGCACTCATTGAAATCCAAACGTGGAGGAGAGATGGCTGTGCCATCCAGTTGACACTGCAGAAATTCACCATCACCTTATCCCTTGTGCTGTGCCAAACCAGGTGTCGCCAGTGAGACACAAACAGAGCTGAGTGTTGACCCAGCGAGGCCAAGTAGGCAGAATGAGCCCACTCTCAGAGTGTATTTAAGTGCTGGCTTGCTCTGTGTTTCAGATACCCTCGCCAGCCAGAAGTGGTGTGCAGCTGCCACCTCCTAGGGACAGGCCACCACCAGTTTAGAAAGGGCTAAGGTTTCAAGAGTGAATCCTAAACAACATCCCTTCTTCCAACTGCTTGCCTGGCAGAGGCACAACACAGCAGCCCCCACAGAGCGGCTGTTGTGGCAGCTGAGAGGAGGGTTCACTAGCAGAGAAATTAGAAATCCTAAATATTTCCAATTTTCTGTCAGTTTTCATTAGCTGATACTGATGCAACTGGCAAAAAAAAAAAAGCGCCTTTACCATCAGTTATTAGGAAAACATAAAGCAAATGGATTTATAAATGCCATTGTGGAAGAGGCTCTGTCACTTCAAGGCTGTCCTGGCACCGCAGGTTTGAAGGGCTGCAGCTTTGACACAGGCTGTTCAGCAGTTGGCCTTGTCTTGGGGACTTTATTCAGCATTCCCAGCTCCCCTCTCGCCCCTTTCCAAAAGATATATTCCTGACCCAAGTCTTTTCAAGGAATCAGAAACAGCAAGCATGGCCTGTTGCCATGAAAAAGGGGGCTGTGTCCCTCCTCTTCTAAAATGGTTCTGCTTAAGCCGGAAGTGATGAACGTCTTGAAAATGAGTCTGTGTTTTAAAATACACCCCCACCTTTTTACACGCAAGGAAGAGCTGCAGCAGTTGCTATTGTGAGGCTGAATCTTTGCCTAATTAAATTCACAGTAATCTCCTGTGAAGGCTCAAGAGAGATTCAGAGCTTTGCGCTGATGTGACTGTTCCAGTCCTGTCCTTCAGTTCTGTTACTGTGACATTGTCTCCATGTTCTCCATGGCTCCACGTTCCTCCTCAGGGATGGAGATTCCTGAAACATCCTGCAGCTGAAGGAAGCTGTGCTGGTGGGCACATGTGGGCAAGGCTGAAAGGGATGGATCCTGGAGACAGACCCACTGGAGCCAATCCTTCCCCCAGGCTTCCTGCTGAACCTGGTGTTGGCAGAGACCTGGAGACCTGGGGTGTGGTACAGGATCACTGCTGTCCCCATGCAGTCTGGCAGAGAGGCTGCACTGCTCTGGCTTGATTTCTGATGTTGAGGTGGTGAGTGGATGCCTGGGCTGCAGCTGAAGTTTCTCCAAGCAGAGGGTTTCTTGTAAAGCAGCAGCTTGTGGTGGCCTTGCCAAGTGGACCAAAGAGGCTCATCATCCATCATGGCTCTCAACTCCTACAAAACCACTGGATATGGAAAGTAGCTCCCAAATAAGAATCTTTGAATTCCATGAACAGAAGTATTTCTAAATGATTACATTACTGCTTCTTGAAAACACATGGTGGAAAATCACACAGCAGTCCAGGAGGGGTCTTCTCTTCTGTAGTCCCTGCTCAGAGGAGACTGCAACCCTGTAACTCTGCTTTTAGCATCCAAAAAAATATTGGCCAGGGTGCCAGAAGCTTTCTGCTCATCATCTCCAAGAAACTACCCTCCAAGGGTCATGTGCTGCTCCTCTGGAATCTTAACACTTTTCGTGAGAAAGAGCAGATACAGACTTCCAAGGCTGTGGCTCTGTCTTTCATGGGCCTGTTGAAATTCATAATGAAAACCAAGTTTTCTTGTACTCTGCCTGTACTGCAGAGTAAAAGTGTGGAGTTGACAACAAGGAAAAGAAATTCTGAGACAGTATATTGGGTGGGCAAGTAATTTGGCATCATCCCTGAGTCTGGCCCTTAAAAGAACGAATCAGCGGCGAGTCACTGTATCCCTGGTTTTGTTTGGATCTGGGACAGAGGCTGAGGAGGGAAAGCTGAATCATTTGCCCCATGGGTCAAAGCCTTGAGCAAGGGACGAACCTTGTGCAGCACAGCAGTTTGCACCAGAACTCGTAATTTGGAAATTATGCTAGAAACAGCTTTTGAGAATCATTTCTCAGGCAATCACAATGACAATTAGTCATTAGCACCTATGATGTTCTGATTTCTTAATAGCCGTAGCACAGAAGATTTGTTAATATTTAGTGCCGTTTTATTTGTTTTTGTTTCTTTCAAAATCAGAACCTTTTGGAAGAAGACCTTGCAATCACATCCAGCTTTCTTAGGGTTTGCACAGTTAAATCCAGATATCCTAAACTGGCACATTCTGTTTTATCTGGTTTCTGTATCTTCATCTAGACCAGGAGGATGAAGCTCAGTTTAATGCAGGGCCAGGCGGAGGGAAGTTCTCTGCTTCCTAGCTGGAGGATCTCAGTTCCCAAGTGCCTTGGACTGCTCCCACGTGTAAGTTTTGGGTAATGAGATCGTCAAGCTCAGGGTCAGAGGCGAGGTACTCGATGCCAGTTTTGAAAACCCATTCATTTTTGCAGGTTTTCTTCTTTCTGGTGCCAAGCTGGAAATACTTTAAAGGCTACTTGGTTTGAGAAACTGTAAATGAATAAGTAATTTTTAAGCTCTTCTACTTGCTTAAACAAGAAAGGATTGGGAGAACAGTTGTTTAATTAAACAGCTACTTGGTATGGTTCACAAAAGCTTGAACTCCAGCAGTAACTCTCTTAATTCACAGATTCCTTGGGAATTCAATGACCTTGAGTTTGCTGTGCTTGAAACTTGCCTTAGTGCTTGGCTTCCTTTCTGGAATACTTAGGAGAGGAGAGCTGTGCAGAAGGCACTGCAAGGCTCTTGAGCGAGACCGGCACTGCTTCACTTAGGATCATATAAGAAGAGGCATTTGTGCTGTACAAAATAAACTTCTTGCTTCAGAGCATGCCTGGAGTTATTGCACCCAGAGGTCACAGCTGGATCTGCCTCTGCTTCCCTAGTAATCTGCCATGGAAATTTTGAGTACTGGCTGCTCGGGATGATTTTCTTGCCCCTCTTTATGAAACAAAGCAAATGTGAACCAGCAGCACATGATGGATGTTGTGTGAGAAGTAACTTGTCTGAGGAATCACATCATTTAATCGTGCTCCAGAGTTCAGGGCTTCACTTGCCAGCTGAGAGGGAAGTCTGATCTCCCAGCGCCGAGTGGCGTTTCCTGCATCCTTTCCTGTAATGGCAACTGGGGAGGTTACAGGCATGAACTAGTGGCCAAGTTCAGTGGAAATGAGTGTTTATCCATTACTTCCCTGTGTTTGTCTCCACCATAATAACTCTCTGAAGGAGTGACTTCAGTCATGTCAGTGTTTAGCTGTGGGATCACACATAAAGTATCGGGATTTAAACAGAGAGAACCTTGAATACCCAGAGCTGTATCCAGAGGGTCTCTACAGTTTCCCCCTCCACCACAGGGATGTCATCAGTAAACAAAGCCCCACTGTTCCTTCCCTTGGCAAAGTATTTAATCAGTTGAGCTGTATTGATGACATAAAAAACAGGAAATAATGATCTGTTGTGATTAATAACTGCAAAGTGCCAAAGCTGTGTGAGTGCAGCTACAAGTATTTCATGCAATTCCTTGGGAAGTGGTTGCACTTGAACCAGCCAACAGGACCTGCTCCCAATACACCACCTCTGCTGCATCTGTGGAAGGAGAAGCAAGGAGAAGATAGGGGTGAGCATCTTGCCTACTTTTGGCTGCAGAGCTATGGACAGGGGCAGGGCTGTCCCGGCACCGGCGTTACTCCCGTAGGAGGACAGCTCCAAACTGGCTGTGGAGAGGGACCACATGCTCATCCCCTCCAGACAGAGGTGCTCGGCACTAGGTGACATTAACCATATTTTAATTAGCTTGCCTTTGTAGTTAAAGCCCATCTTGGGCATTTCGAAACCTGCCATACAACATGTCCTGTCCATGATTGCTTTTCATGAGACTTGTGGGGCTGCGTTCTCTGGGCTTTGGTAGTACAATCTGGAGCTGTGAGAGAAAGCCCTCGGGGGCTAATCCGTGGCTGCAGGCCAGTTTCTGCATAAACTGGTCTTATTTTTAAAGTCCATTTTCTCCAGTACACTTTTTTTTGGCCTGCAAAAGACTTCTTCATTTAAAACGAAGAACATAACACTCTCTCCTTTCAGTTGGTCTTTTGGACACGAGCCAGCAGTGCCCACAACAGCTGTACCACAGTTTAAACATTCAGTCTCTAATGGTTTGGGGAACATTAGGGTTTTTAAGGCTTCAACAGGTCTAGAGTAAATAGTGGTCAATAAAGAGTAGCTCTTCTTTGTATCCCTACGCTCTCAGTGCTCCGCACTAGAATAAAGCATGCTTAGAATATAATCATTGCAAAATTAATATCCATGAAAGGTTCTTTTTCTGAAAAGAATCATAGAGGAACCTGTTTCACTAAAAGAAGAGTTTGCAGGAGTTCAGCTCTCAGGGCTGTGGTAACAGGCATGGGGAGGTTTGCACGTAATGTCTGTTGGAGACGTGGGTGTGCTGGGCTTGTGTCGCTCCCCACGTATGTGTTTAGTGGCTGCTACATGGGAGGAGCAAATAAATTATAGGTATTACTTTTTCTGTGGCCTTCCTGCACCCCACTATTAATGATGTACACAAGAGTTAATTATGATTTTTTTGTCTTCCTTATGGCTTTCCAGTATTCTGCGGAGTTGGAAGTTGGTGTGTGCTAATAGGTAATATTTAGCATAGAGTTTTGGACCCACATAAGGTAGAAATTATGTTAGCAGTGATTTGTGATAGTTGGGCATTGCCCTTGTTAGTCATTGAACCCAGTGTTAGTACTGTCTTAGTGATTTGAGCAAGTTGATGTTGGTGAGGAGCTGTCAAACAGCATGGAGGGAACTGCTCGTTTCCTCCAAGTTTGTAGATGTGGGTGAGAAAATACAACCTCTTCTTATTGTGCAGAAAAGCCTATGAGCATCCCAGGGCTTCTGTGGCCCTGGGTCAGTGTCCACGGGCGCCTCGGCCCAGGAAGGGTTAAATTGCTCCATTGGCCTCTGACCACTCAGACTTTGTGTACAACACTTCATGCTGCTGTGATAAAATAGTTTGTGAGTCCTTGTACTCTCCACAGGGAATTTATTAACCCCTTCCAATACTCTTTGTGTTTCCTGACAGTGTACCTTGGCTCCCAGATGGGCGATTGGAGCTGCAGGAAGCTGGCACATCCCGTGCCCACTGCAGCTTGCAGAATGAAGGGAGACAAGAGGGACACTGGACTAGGAGAGGGGGAGACTTCACAGGAAAAATATTGAACATACCAGCCTTGCAAGGCATTCTTGTGAAAAATAGGATTATATAGAAGCCTGGCTACTGTGGTGCCTCTCATTAACTGCTCTGCAGGATTGGCTGGAGTACAGGGTTTGGGCAGTTGTCACCTTTTTGGCTGGAGGAAGGTGGCTGTTGATAGGTGCTTCGGTTGTAAATTGCTCTGTGTTGAAGCACCAGTAAAGTCTTGCTGAGATATGTTTTATTTTCAGTTCTGTTTTTGAAGCAAGGTAGTTTTTGGAAGAGGCAAGATGTAGTATTAGAAGTTCCAAAGTTAACCAGTGTACCTAAAAAGTGACTCCTGAGGGGCAAGGCACAGTTTCAGAGTATGCCTCTTAACTTTATTTAGGGCCATTTGCTAGAGGTTCCTATCTTTACTTCCATTGGGAAGTTTCATAACATTTTCCTACCCATCGGTATTCTATTAAAACTTCGTTGTGTAATCTAAAAGTCTTTCTGCTTCTCATGGTTTCCTCCTGTAGCTAATTCAGAATGCCCTAGGTAGCAATTTTGGAGTAAATGCATTCAGGCTGCGTGGTCTTGATTTTGTTTTCTTATAAATTCAAAACAAGATTTGAAATTAAGTCCTATTGTCAATTTTCCTTTAAATAATGGAAATCAGATAGTGACGTGATTTAAGAACTTTTATCTAATGTCACAATACTCCTGGGAAAGCCTCTGCCTTTAGTTGTAGTTAAAAGGTCAGTAAAATTATTGCCATATGCATTTAGTGTTTCTCATTATTTATATATGTAGCTTGAGAGAGGATAGATCAGTGGAGTCAGTAAAATATCCATGTGGGTCCTGCAGTGTTGGGCTGATCTTGTTCTTCCCGTGTGAGCTCTCCACTGTAATAAATTGTGCTCACAGGACTGACCCTAAGTGGGTGTGATTTGAGGTCTCCTAGAGCCCTTCACAGGAACAGCGAGGTTCAAAGTGACCAAAAAATAAAGTGTTATTAGTAGAGGAAACAATATGGGGATAGAAATGAAGAACATCTTTGGGTGAGTGGAAAAACATGCTTCGTTTGGATAACTCTGCTGAACGTAGGATTAGACCAGGCGACCTCTGCCCGTAGTGCGCTTTTAAATCTTGCATGACTTCTAAAGGGATATTATGCATCTCGACAGGCAGCTCATCTGGGGCCTGCCAAGAGGCCATGGCCAAGATGTTCTCCTTTGGCTGCATTGCTGTACAGATCCATCTATCCTCTGGCCTGGATTGCTCCCAGACAGCAGGCACGCAGCAGGGATCACTTGGGGGAGAGCGGGAAGAAGGTGAACTTGAGCAGGAAAGAAGGGGTGGGGGGCTGGGGGTGACCCATGAAATAAATGTCCTTTCTTTCTCAATCTGGCTGAAATTCCTCCCTCCCTCCTTTGCAATGAATTGCATTTGTTCAGATTAAAATCCACGCTTCCAGTAGGCACAGCTTGCTCCCGAGCTGTCAGCAGCGATGCGCCGAGTGGCAGCTTTCAGCGTGCACACAGCTGGTGTGTTAAGATAGCAGCAATTAAATCCAGGTGTAAGTTTATTCCTAACTTCAGTGTCTGTCCACAATAATGGGAAAAATGCAACCGAAGGCCTAATAAAACAGGGCTTGCACTGCCTCTGAGCAGCTGGTAAAGGGAGGGCTTCTGTTCCGGTGATTTTCCCTTTAGTGCTCGGTTTAATTGCCGTCATATTTGAGCCATTCTCGCTGGTTTTTTTTTCAGTTTAGCTCTTTGCTAATCTTTACAGCCCTTTACAGTCCTTTGTGGTTTATTGACTGTGTTACCTGTAGCAAATTCTACTGGCAGCGACATCGATTGGGTCCAATATTGAATGAAGGTGCAGTGCCAGCTCCTCCGGCAGGTTGATGATGTTTGTGCTGTGATATAGAATCAACCCATGATCTTTTTAAATTTCCTTTACCTAAGTTGGTATATACCTTTGGCCTCTAGGGCTTTTTTCTCTTGTCTTTCTTTTTTTTTTCAGCTTATTTTCCACATTATCATCGTGATTTCTCTTTCATGCTATCAGCTGCTGCCTGTGCTACTGAAAACAGGAAAGCTGGTTTGTCTGCTTTCCTAAGGCTTGTAAATCTAATCTCAGCTCTCTGTCTTCTTGTTTTGAAATAGCAGTTTCCATAAGATGTTTTTATCGTAGTGTACACATGCATCCTGTATTACCTGCCTTCTGGAACTCTAGGAATCTCAGGTACACTTTACTGACATTTTAAAATGACAGCTGTAGCCTTGCATTGCAGCACTTGAAATAATGTATTTGGCATCTTGACTAAACCATTCAGCAACCTGGATTTTGAATGCCTAACCCTGGATTTTTTTTTTTATTGTTCTTTATTATTATTATTATGAAAACAATGGGAGGCAGACAAATAGTTAAGAGTTTTGTAGTGAACACTTCATGGTGTTTTTTCCTGGTGATGGTGTGTTGTTGTGAAAAAATGAGCTTACAGTCGACTTACTGCTCAGTTGTTTGCCCGATGGTGATATCTCTAGAATGGGCTGTACTAATCCCAAATCCATGATAGATGTTTCTTTCACCAGTTTACAATGAATAATCCTCTTAATTTCCTTGAATAGCAGCTGGTATTGCTACAACCTGTGCCTAAACCCAAGAACAGCTTACTCAGAAAGCCTTCTGGCCCTGCAAGCGAGGAGGAATTCTCTCCCAGCGGGGTTGCGTGGGCTGACTTTCACAGGGACCGCACTGCCGGGACTGTAATTTTTCCTCTCTCTCTTCTAGATGCAGCAGCTGTTCTATGAGAATTATGAGAAGAACAAAAAGGGCTACATCCGAGACCTGAGGAACAGCAAAATACACCGAGCTATAACACTGCACCCCAATAAGAACCCCCCGTACCAGTACAGGCTTCACAGCTACATATTGAGCCGCAAGATAGCGGAGCTGCGCCACCGGACTGTGCAGCTGCACCGGGAGATCGTCCTGATGAGCAAATACAGCAACACTGAAATCCACAAAGAAGACCTGCAGCTGGGGATGCCGCCCTCCTTCATGCGATTCCAGCCCCGCCACCGGGAAGAGATCTTGGAATGGGAGTTTCTTACAGGAAAATATTTGTATTCAGGTGCCGACGGGCAGCCCCCGCGGAGAGGAATGGACTCATCTCAGCGTGAAGCGTTGGATGACATCGTTATGCAGGTCATGGAAATGATCAATGCCAACGCTAAGACCCGGGGGAGGATCATAGATTTCAAGGAAATACAGTATGGCTATCGCAGGGTGAACCCCATGTACGGAGCAGAGTACGTTCTGGACTTATTGCTCCTGTACAAGAAGCACAAGGGGAAGAAGATGACGGTCCCTGTCCGGAGGCACGCGTACCTGCAGCAGACGTTCAGCAAGATCCAGTTCATGGAGCACGAAGAGATGGACGCCAAAGAGCTGGCCAGCAAAATCAACCAGGATTCTGGATCCTTGTCTTTCCTCTCCAACTCGCTGAAGATGTTCGTTCCCTTCCAGCTCAGCAGATCCAAAGCAGAGAGGAAGGAGCTCAAAGACAAGAAGATCAACATCCTGATTCCTCTCTCTGGGCGTTTTGACATGTTCGCAAGGTTCATGGGGAATTTTGAAAAGACGTGCCTCATTCCAAACCAGAATGTCAAGCTGGTTGTCCTGATTTTCAACTCCAACTCCAACCCTGACAGAGCGAAGCAGATCGATCTGATGAGGGAGTACCGCTCCAAGTACCCCAAGGCTGACATGCAGGTTCTTCCCGTGTCGGGGGAGTTCTCGAGGGCACTGGCTCTGGAAGTCGGATCTTCTCAGTTCCAGAACGAGTCTTTACTTTTCTTCTGTGATGTTGACTTAGTGTTTACTGCAGAATTCCTCCAGCGGTGTAGAGCCAATACAGTTTTGGGTCAACAAGTGTATTTTCCCATCATTTTTAGCCAGTATGATCCAAAGATTGTTTATAGTGGAAAGGTTCCTAGTGACAATCATTTTGCCTTCACCCAGAAAACAGGTTTCTGGAGGAACTATGGCTTTGGTATCACCTGTATTTACAAAGGTGATCTTCTTCAAGCAGGTGGCTTTGATGTCTCCATCCAAGGTTGGGGCCTTGAAGATGTAGATCTATTTAACAAAGTCATTCAATCTGGCTTAAAAATTTTCCGAAGCCAAGAAATTGGAGTAGTCCACGTGCATCACCCTGTTTTTTGTGACCCTAATCTTGATCCAAAACAATATAAAATGTGCTTGGGGTCCAAAGCTTCAACTTATGGGTCCACACAACAGCTGGCTGAAATATGGTTTGAAAAAAATGACCCAAATTTTGGGAAAAGCAGCAATACTAATGGCTCAGTGAGGACAGCCTAATGTCCAGCTATGCTGGAAAAGACTTTTTTTTTAATTATCTAATTTATTTTTGGGAAAATGTTTTTTGATAATTCACTTTTAAAAGACCACACAGGATATATTTTAGAAATCATCGTTGTTTTCTTACAAAGCGCTCGTTTCGAGAAGAACAAGGCCCTTGGGTTTTTTTTTTGTTGTCGTGTTTTTGGTTTTGAACAAAACTGTGATCAATATTTGCCTTCAGACAAAACAAAATAATTGTTTAAGAGTTATCTGACCAATCAGCGGAAATCTGACTTGAATTAGAATTTCCTTATGAACAAAAGATTGTTTCCTGCCGTTTCCTTTGCCGTCTTCGTTGCTGGGATTCTGTAAATTGGGACCTGAGCGTGCAAAGCCAAGTGACAAAACGCTGTGTCTAAATGTTTTGGTGTGACTGCTGCTGTGCAAAGATTCTGCTCCTTTGGTTCAGCATAGCCATGAATTTTCAGTTTGTGTTAGACCAAACCAAACCGCCGTGGCGATGAGAAGGGTGGTAATCGCACGAGGGGGTTTTTCCTAATTATTTCCTGATTATTTCAGTTTAAAAATACACTTCCACTTATTATGGGCAGGCGACTCCAAGGGAGGGAAGGAAATAAGCACAACCCATGATCCGGTTAGTCCCTGTAGAAATTGTTGTGGTTTATATTTGGTCCATATATGGACGGAATGTTTTAGGAATCCGTGGTGGGTTCTGTGTATTGTCCTCAACCGCTGTCCTAGAGCTGAGCGATGCGACCAAGAAATGCTGAGGTGTGATGTGGGAGGGGAAGAGGCTGGGAAATGGGAATCTCTTGCAGCCAAACGGCAGCACGCAGCGAACAGTCCAAGATTCCTGAAAATAACTTGGAAAACTCCTCTGCACCGAGTGTCCTGCGCCCGATCGCATCGACTTTGTTCGGTCAATTACATGATGTTAATGGGAACAATTATTACATTTGATTACTAGTTTTGTTTTGGGATTATTTTTTTTCTGTATCTTCTAGACCGTTAATTTATTTAATATCCATTGTTTTAGATTCTTGACCTTTCCTTGAATATCTGTTAGTCATTTTAATATTTTATATATATATATATGTGTGTGTAAATATATATATATATATTAGGAATGTATTGCATCTTCTCACTGGTAAGGTAGTGTACATCATACTTATAGTAAATGATCTCCAAAGATTACTTTCTAAAATATTTTTTCACGAATCTTTCTTCCCCCCCCCCTCCCCGAATTTCTTTAACATTTTTGGAATCACTTCAGTGAGCTTATGAATTTATTTGGTATTCTAAGAGGAACTGGGGGTGGGGAGGCCGAATACAAGGAAAGTGTGATCCCTGTGAATGAACACCTAGTAAGGTAAGAAAAAATACACAAAATAAAGTGCCTTAAAGCCAGAAAGGGAACCCTGTACATTGACACTTAGACAGTGTATGGAAATTGTCATTGAGCAGATGATCTCTTGGGACCTACCTACCTGTAAATATCCTGCTCAGCAGAAACAAAAAATAAAAACCAGTGAACAATATATTTTTCTATCATATCCTCCAGCACCATTTCGTCTCATTGCCCTCCATTCCACTTTGCCTACTCTTTGGGAAGTGGAGGCGAGTGAAGGAATGGAGAAAAGCTGATGCTTAGGTGGTTGTTGCCATGTTTGAAGGGATCTTACAGAGCAATTGCTGTTCCAGTAGAAGAAATAACTGTTGTTCACACATGTGTGGAGTACAAACTGCAGCTAGTGTAGAGTCGGTGTCTTGCAATATTCATCATTTTCTGGTGACAGTCCCAAGGATGTAGGTACTTGGATGAATTCAGTGCATGGAATTTTTTTTTCCTTCTCTCTCTTTTTTTTTTTTTTTTTTTTTTTTAAGACTTGCTTCTAAGATGCAATAAAGATTTTTTTTTATTTGCAATTGGAGCTGCTCACGTGGTCAGTCCATATCGTTTCATCCGGCGTAGGCACAGTGCAGAGGTGACACACCTTTGGGAAGTCCAGGTAAAAGGATCTCCCATCTTTCCAAGGGTTTTGACCTCTCATGTTGAGTTTTGGCCTGGAATAAACTTAATGCCATATCCTGTGACTGTGGAGAAAGGGAGAACAAACCTCTTCATCAGACTTCGGCACACAGCGCTGTTGAGCTCTGCCATCGCTGGTTTTGACTTTTTCCTCATGAAAAGATTCAAAGTACTTTTGCTGTCTGAAAATATCCGCAGCTATAGATTCCAAATGCATACAGTGACAAGGCTGAATGATGTCATAATGTTTTGTGTATTCAAAACACAGTAAAAATAATTTTGAAGTGGGTTGAGAACTTATTTTTAATAGCTCTGCCAGTTGTTCACTATTGGCGTGAGGCTTTTTTATGTAAAAATTAAGTCCCAAAGCAAGAATCTTAGGGATTGCAGAAGTGTTTCTTCACACAAGGGAAAGGGGAAAAAAAGCAACTTGTATTTGTGGCTGCAGAAAAGAGCTTGAAGAATAGGAACCCTAAAGAACCGCACCAAAAGAGAGGGGGGAAAAAAAGCCCTGTATTGGTACTGTATTTATTAACATTTATGATTATGTAGGACTTTTTTTAGCCCATAACAGCTGGTAAAAGCAGAATGTATGTAACTGGAAAAAGCCATTTAATAACCAGCACCGATCTGGTATTGGTTTTTTTTTGCTCAGTTGCTGCAGTTCTAATTCTGTTACCAAATCTATATTAAAAGTGACTTTTCCACCAAGCTTGCAGGCAGCTCTTGAGGCCCCACATTGTTCACACTGGTCATGTATTTTATGGACTCACAGCTTAAAAGGAATCAATTTTAAAGTTAAATCTCCAATTATAGCCCTCTGTGATAAAGTCTAACTGTATAAAACCCATTTTATAATAAAATAAGTGGTATTTGCTGCCCCAGTTATAAGGAGATGGACAGGTGGAAGCCATCGGTGATCAGGTGCTAACCCAGCCTTCACAAAAATCCCTTCTGGGGCTGGAACATTTTATCTGCAATTTACTCCAGTTGTTTGGTTTAGAGAGAGGTTTCCTTCATGCTGAGAAGCCCGTTGGTGCTGGGAAACCCCAGAGGGTTTGCCTCTAGGTAGAAGAAAATGAGATGGTTCCATCCTGAAATCCTGAAGAACGTGGTGACCAGTCATGTGCTGAGCATTGCTGTCTATTGAGATGCTTGTCTTCATTAAAACAATTAAAAATGTGAGACACTTCTTTCCCTCATTTTTCTGGTGTAGGTAACCCGGGTTGGATGCTGTGCTGGCCACAGGCATCCTCACAGCAATAAAACTCCCACCCAAGCAGAGCTCTGCAGCCCCTCAGCACTTGGATTTAAACCCTTCACCTTCTCTGAGCACCCTTGGAGGCGAACACTGTCCCACATCCCCGTGCCAAGGATGAACTTACCGGTCAGAGCTCAGAAAAAACTTTGCCATTCCCACTTTCCTGGAGCTCACGGGAGTTTCTCACCCATGTTGGTTTGTGCTTGGCATGTTGGTGGCCCTGGAGGGCCTTGGGGGTCCCTTGTGTCTGCTGAGCCGTGGGAGTGGCCACCTCCCACCAGGGACAGTGTTGTGAAAAACACTTGGGATGACCCATCACCACCCTCACCCTTCAGGGATTTTTGCTCCCTCAGTTACCAAGACGGGTTGAGGTGACCATCAGAGGGACCAACAAAGGAGCCTAAAGCCAACACTGGCGAGGGGGGTTGGAGTTATTACCACTTTTTTAGAAGCACTTCCTTCCCAGTAGCTTTCTTTGCTCAAGGATCAAGGATGGTGAAAAGAGGCAAAGGAGACAGGGAGAGCACGGGCCTGGGAAAGTGCTCACACAGTGGTTTCAGTGACCGTTGTGCTCCATGTGACACATTGAAAGAGGTGAAACATTTGTCTGTAACTTTGCAGAGTCACCATCTGTGGAAGGATTTCAAGTTTTTTTACTCACAGTGGGATTTATTACCTGGAATACTCAGTGACCAGCTCCAGGCTTGCACAGCTTCCCTGGACCAGGCTGGATGGTTCCTTTCACCAAAATCAGCAGAAAGTCCCGCTGACCCAAATCTGCTTACTCTGAGTTTTTGTGGAAGCTCTAACTTTACATTGCAAATTATTGGCCTGAGCTGTTTCGCATGAATACCTGCTAAAAATACCCTGCTCGCACAGCCAGCAGCACTTGGGAGCTCTTTGGAAAGAAAATCTTGCAGAGGCATTAAAAATGAGGAGCAGGTCAGTGCCCTGCCCGAGGCAGATGCATCCAGGTCCCACTGGGCTCCTCCTCTGCTCTGGCCATGGTGATCCCTGGGCTGGTGGGACAATGCCCCTGTGGGACCTATTTTAAATCAATGTTTTTTTGCCCAGGTCTTCCCTCTGCCAGCGTGAGTTATTGCACTGACTGGAGCAAATACAGGGGGTTTGATCTCAATTGGAGCTCCAAAAAAGCCACCTCCTCCCTGGGCATGGGCAGTTTGGAGACATCCTGGGCTCCCCAGGCAAGGCAGTGCAGCCACATCCCATGAGGAATCCTTTCTCAACTCTTTTACTGGATTTTACCTGGCTGCTGCTGCCATGAGCACTTTTATTCCTCACTTCAGACCTGCTGCTGACGCTTTCCCAGGCACATGAAATGTGTCCACGTCCTTTCCAAGCTCCAAAACCCATCTCCCAGCTCTCCTCCAGCCCAGGAATCTCTATCACCTTCTAAATCACATTTATAAGCCAGGTGAAAAAAATTGAATTAACATCAAAAAAATACCAGCCCAAATACCGGGCTGGCTGTGTTTACTTTCACACTTTAATTCAATAAAAACCTCAACTTTAATTGACCTGAATCAGCTCCAACATTTCCAGTATGCTGGACTGGAGTGTCTTGGAAATCAGGGGTCCCCCCTGCATGGCTGGGGGTGCTGGAAGGACTTCGCTGGGGTCCTGCTCCGCCTCTCACTGACTGTTTTAGAACAGGAAAACAAACAAATAACAACACCTTGGTGCTTTGTTGACTTTTCACCAAGAGGGCCCACACAGAGGGCACAGTTTAAAATAATTCCACGATAAAACAAACTTCCAAAGCAAACGGGCTGTGATAAGGGCAGATAAAGGCTGTTTGCTGTGTTGGCATTGGCTTTGCCAGTGTTGGCTTTGCTAGGATGGTTCTGTGTGGTGGTGTAGGACCGTAATGGCCCTGAGGAACCTGAATCACTGGGTGTTCCACGTCGTGGGTGTTCCACCCCAGTGCAATCTCTGGCACCATCCTCATCCCAGCCCCCATCCTTATCCCCAACCCCATTCCTGGTCCCATCCTTCTCCTCGTTTTCATCCCCGTCTCCATCCCCAACCCCATCCCTGGCCCCATCCTCATCTTCATCACAGTCCCCATCCTCATCCCCATCTCCTTCCACAGCCCCATCCTCATCCTCCTCAGTTAAGCCTCCAAATCCCAACGGAGCTCCCATCCCACCGCTGCCAGACGGGGTAAGCCGAGGACAGGCCAGCAGCCTGAAATAGCCACAATATTTCCTGTCCTTTTAAAGTTTGCTTAAAGAAAACTAATTTCCTCTGTCCCTTTGGTAGCAGAATACAAAGCAGCCAGCACTGCCCCTTTCCCCACCTCCCTTAGAAATCATCTTAGTTTTTTCCTTACGTAAAGCCAAGAGATTTTAGTGCAGCTCAGGATGAGGGAGAATCCAAGTGGTGTGTGAATGCCCACCTGCCCTCACCTTTGTCATGGGGGCACAAGAGATGGGTTTTGCTCTAGTATGTTAAATTATGGTATTTCCTGCCCCATTGTCCAGGACAGTGTGAGCAATGGGGCAGAGCCAGCCCTTCTGCCCTTTCCTAGTGAAATTAGCTGTTTTCCTGCACACAGAGAGGTTGGTTGGGTTTGGATAGCCTCAGGCTGGTGAGGTGAGTGCACCCACAGAGCTGGGAGCTTGTGCTGGGCCCCAAAATGCCCTGAGAAAGCATGAGAATGTGGGGCCTTAGAGATGGGGTGTGACCAGCAGTTTGCATCCACACCTCCCCCCAAAAATGTTCAGGCTGTGCCTCAAGCTGGGATGTGGGTACTGGGCGCAGCAATCATTCTTCATCCCTGACCCTGACCCTGCATCCCTCTCACCACACTGATGCCAGCAAAGAAACAGCCCAAACCAGGAATAGCAATCAGTATCCAGATGGGAATTGGGTCTGTTTCTTTCTAAGCAGGTAAAGGACCTCTAAGCACTCCAGGAAAATGCCCAGGCTGGAGCATGTGGCTCCTTGCTCGCAGGAGGCAGCTGAGAGAAGGGGTAAAGCCGGGGGGTTCTGGGGCTCCAGCACTGATGGCTCAATTAATTCCTGTGCCAGCAGATCCTGTTGTTCATCTCCCTCAGCTTCCTTGATGAGCAATTAACTGCCCTGGCACCGCCACCCTCCCACTGCTGGGGCTGGTAGAGGGAGTTAATCCCGTTTGAGAGCATCCGCTTCCCTCCAGTGCTGAGCCCCTTCCATGTGCTCCCGCTGCTCCCAGACAGGGCTGCGGGAAACCTCATGTTGACAAAATAAACCCAAGCTCTTTTCTTGCCTCTCCTCAATCAGCTGAAGGAATAACCCCCTGCCAGGCCCCTGCTCGGGCTTATTTTTAGCGGCTGAAATGAAACAGTGAGGACTGTAATAAGCACAGCTCCCCCAGACCCACGGCTGGGGCTTGGGCAGCCCCTTGTTCCCGGGCTCTGGGGGCTTTTCCTGCCTTTGGCTGTGATCCCATCCCTTTCCCCAGGATGGCTGATGCTCCTCACCTGTTCCAGCCATCAGGAGAACAGGCCTTGCTGGTAGGAGAGCTGGGAATAATCACTGAAATCTCAAACTGTTTGAACCGGTGGGAGTTTCCTAATTTTGTTTTTAATTTCTGTTTACTTCTGCCCCTGGAGATTCATTCCCGCAGCACGTGCAGTGCTCACTTAATGGAGCCTTGTGCCTAATGAGGTTTCAGGTTTGCTGAAGGGGGGATTTTATCCTGATTCCAGGGTAGGAACATTCAGGATCTCAGCCGTTTTTGGGAACCAACTCTCCCTAGTCCCAGGAGGTTTTGCGACACACTCGCACCCACCACTGCAGCACCTCTCAAGCTTCTTCACAGGTCCCATGAAACCCAGCTGCCATCCCCCTCTCTCCCCCCCATCTCCCTGACCCGGTTGGCAAAGGGGGGCAGTGGGCTTTGGAGCAGGGATGGGTTGCCAATAAAAAATGCCACTAGTGCAGTGTCATTTTTGGAGGAATCTGTTTATTTTAAGATACATTCTGTTTCTGAAGAAGGATATTTTAGCAGCCTGCAACAGAAATGTGAACCAGAGGGTTAACCTGCCCGTTCGGCCTTGGCCAGCCTTGCCGATGCTCACACAAGTTCCTTGGGTTAGAAAAGAAAAAAAAAGGTCCAAAATTCAAACTGTACACTTTTATACAGGGTGCATAGCCAGGCTCACTTTTTACACTGCTGTACATGCTTGGGATAACTAAGTGCAATTGGATTCAGAGCCAAAACAGCATCCCAGGCCACTAATGAAGATAAAATACAAGCTGTGGTGGGCAGAAGCTGCACAGATACATAGAGGCAAACTGAGCTTATTGTGTTCCCACTGCTCCAGACTGCATTTCCCAAGAGAAAGAGGAGTGGAGCAGAGACAGCTTATGAACCTTCCCCATCACGGGGCTCCCTTCTCTTACACCAGAAGTATCTGTCACACCCAGTGGCTTTGCTTTCCATCAGCTCCACTGACAGTTGACTTTGCAGCAGTGCAGTGAACCAGCTCACTCACTCGAGGTGCAGCATTCCTGGAAGGTTTTTCTGGGCTCCCTCACAGGAACACTGCACCACAACAGCTTTGAGGAACCAGAAACGCAGTGGTCAGCCACAGCTTACTGCTGCTTCCTACACCTGGGTGTCTGTACACAGGGACTACACCTGAAGTAGCCTCTAACGGAGTTGCAGGGAGGCGGGAAGCAGCCCCACAGTGCAGGGTTTCCAGCAGATGCATTCCCCTGGGAACAGGGTGGATCAGCCCACCGTGCCCCTCACTGCCGGCCAGCGGGTAGCCGGGATTGGAAAGTGCTCAGGCTCCCAGGGAAGAGCTAACGGAGCTCTCCTGGCTGACATACACATGATCAAAGCAGCAGCAACAGCCAGGGTATGCTGAAGGTGAGGAAGGAATTTAAAATGGGGAAGAACAAACTGGAAAGA